GAAACCCAATGTGGGTCTCTATGAGTTGGAATTGACTCCATGTCAGTGGGTTTGGTTTTTTATATGACATAATTGCATTATATTTTAAACGTTAAGTTAAAAAAAAAAAGTAATTAAACTATACTTTCATGACATACTTGGAATACAGATTTGATCTGAAATGTTTATGAGAAAATTGTAACATTTAAAATTACACCTCAAATAGGCCTATAGATTATAGGTCAAACTGATGAGAAGAAATATTTATTCAATAATTTACAAAACTGGTACTCACCAGAAGATCTGGGAAGCCAACAACTATTGTAGCGTAACTGTTCTCATCTGAAAGGATTCGGTTAGGAGAGGCAATTCTTTGTCCCACAGCTGAACTTAGATTTTCAGATGAGAGTTGATCACTTGAAACTTTATGAGGTATGCTGAGCTCTGTCTCTGAAAAGTGTCAGACAAACATTAGATACCATATGCTCCTAAAATGCTCCAGGAATTAATTTTTTGTAAGATTTAATTCTCACCAACTCATGGAGAAAAGACCCAAGGTAAAAAAAAATAGAGAAAATACTTTAAATTATATTTGTGGGCTTTCATCTGAGAAAACTCAGTTTTCACAATCAAAGGCATCATCCCAAAGAGATTCCAAGTATTTATGGAATTCAAGATTTTATTAGCAATAAATATTATCATGAGTACCACCCTGTAGAAGATGTGAAGATCATTTAACCCCATGTTGGTAATAGAATGTTTTAGATTATTTTTGTAAGTACTATTTACCCGCTAAAACTGTGTTGAATTAAGTATAAGTCTTGAGAGTTTTGTATAAAAAGAAAAGAAATTATACTAAAATAAATATAATCTAAATGCATATAAAAATTCTGATTTGTCAGTTGAAAAAAGTCAAAGACAGAGATTACAAGATTGAGTTTCTGAATGATGCTTTGAATGATGGTGGATTCCTATCTACGTTGCTAAAGTGGTGACTAAGATTTCTCTTTCAGTAAAAACTTAACAAAGGCTGATGCTATGGTGATCAGAGGACTAGGGGATGGTATGTGTACAAGCCCACACCCATTCAGCCACTGGCATAGAGAAGACAGACTTTACCTTGTTTAACTCCAAACCCTGTGCTAGGCGGCTCTTCTTTCAACATGTGCAACTGGCAAACCCCACTATCCTCAGAATCAATGTTTGCAGACTTAGTTAAGAGATATTTCCTGTCAACAGACAAAACACCTAAAGTAAGTGAAAAGTTTCTCTTTTTCTAGTATTTGTGAGCTCAGACTAATCACAATTTCTCCTGCCCCTAAAGCCTCATTTTCATATTCTGAGTCGAATCTTCTGTTTCAGAGTTTCTTCGTGAATTTCCAAATCACTTTTCAACACTGTGTACAAAAAGCAGTGCAGAATAACAATGCAGGAATGTATGTGAATTAAAAATATAACACTTCCTATAGGAGAGAAGGCTTTTTTTAAAAAATAAAATTTTTAAAAGGCAATACTAGCAGGGTACCTCCTTATTATCAATGAACTCTCTCTTTACATGACTGTTGGGTCAGCCAGTAAGTGGGGACCTTACCTCTGATTTGTGACCTGCTACAGGAGCTCTGGTAGCATAGTGGCTAAGGCACTTGACTGCTAACCAGAAGGCTGGCGGTTCAAACCCACCAGCCACTCCTTGGAAGGAAG